TTTAGAAAGCTAAATCATTAAAGGCCATGTAGACCCTAGGCCAGATTCTTACACTAGAACAATTCAGGGCTTGATTTGCAGTGATGGTGATGTGTTTAAGAATGGAAGTTAGTCCACTTTCCCCTAAACAATGCATAGTTTTTCATTAGAATTTAAAACAACCTGGATTGGTTTTGGATAATTTGAACATATATTATGCCATGTGGAAATTGTGAGTGCTGCAAAAGAATTTTGTAGCATTTAGGACATGATAGAGTGTTGTCAATACAGTAAATGAGGGTAAATTCAATAATTGAAGGTAAAGAAAATATTGCCAAATTGATGGCAGTCAAGCTGCTTGTCAAGTGTGAAAAGTTTTGCATTGATTTCTTTGCATTTTATGATAGTTTGCCTGTGCTTTGACATTCCCTGGAACAATATATATTAGGCCAGGCACAGTATAGAGCTGCAGTTCCTGCCCACACATATCCTGTTCTTGAGCAGAACCTTTACCAGTGTTGAACCTAAACCAGGAACAATAGCGTTAATGAAGCTATTTATAGGAAATGCTGCTTTCATTTAAAAAACACTTGAGATTATGATGATGCCATATTTATGTAAGAGTTGCATCACTGAGGGCTATATTTATGGTATTCATATATAAATCCAAACTATGATTTAAATTGTATGGATTAATCATTTCAGCATAACGTTCTTGTTGCACGTTCTTTGCCTAGAGATAGAGCAGATGATGAAAATACTTACCTTTAAAAACATAAAATAGCAAGGAAATTTGGACATTTAGCCTCACCATGATAAAATAAATCATTGTTGGCTCTGCAACTAATATAATTCTGTAAAGAGAAAGTAATATTTATGTTGCTGACTTGGGTGAAATTATTTTGTGATAATTACAGAATTTTGGTTTAGAGTGTGTTTTCATGTAATATTTTATTTAATATTTCATTCTTTTTGAAAGCCAAATAAGTTGTAGAGAACCTTTTGAGCATCAAGTTGGACTGCAGAGCTCTGTGTCCACTAGGCAACCACAGTCTGCAGTGGTAGTCCATTTTGTCTGCCTGGGAAAAGTTTCCCTTCTGGGATTTGTGGAATTTGCATTCTCTACCTCTGAGCATCTTAACACCTACACAGATTATCTGAATGAGGCTGCAACACTAACCAGATCCAGTATCCCACCTGCAGCTGAGATCAATATTTGATGGTTTATAGGAAAGTGGAGTAGGAGGCACAAAAAGGAGACACATCATGCATCAGAAGGAAAACCAAACATCCCTTGATCCCACAGGCAGTCAGCCCAAAAAACCCAAGGTTTGAGATTTTTTATTAAAATTACCTTAGCCCAGAGCCACAAACACGAGTTATATTGTGCAGACAATCCTGTATTCCCAAAGATTCATTGCAGGAGGGGATTAGAAAATCAATAGACTGAGTTAAATCTGCAGATTCCAGGCCAGAAGAAATTGCAACAGCCATCCAAACTCAGCCCTTTGTGGTTTTTTGCCACATGCAGACTGAGCTAATTCTTGACATAAAAATCGAAAGCATATCTTAAAGGGCTGATTCTGTCATCTCCTTTGCTGAGCCCTTCTGCACATCCATACCTGTCAACAACTTTTCCCTAACTATATATACATATATGTATGTATGACCCAGATGTCTTTGAACGGTTTTAGCCAACCCAGCTTTGGGTTTCTATGTTTGACTTCTGACCCAGCATTACACTGACAATTCCTTATCTTTCCTCTTAACCCATTTCCCATTCCTGCAGTGTGCTTTCCAGGAACTGGACATTTTATGATAGCGCCACTCTCACCAGTGGCAAGATCACCCCAGGACTTGGGATCCACTTATGCTGTAGAATTGAGTCAACTCTTTGCCATGATACTGAATTGAGAACATGTAGAATAGTATTTATCTGTGTGAGCCCATAAGCTTTTGTTCTAGCTCTGATTTTCAAGTCTTACATCTACAATAATTCACGGTTAACCAGGTGAGACAGAACATTTGGTAGGAGTGCCCTATCTTCCTCCTTGTTTGTTTTTTTTTTTCTTTTTAATGCTACTGTTTTTAACTCCCAAATGTGTTTTCCATTAATTCTGTTTAATATAAACTTTAGATGTCATAAATCATACCCTGGAAGAAAACCAGGCATAACGAACTCTATCAAATATAACACTGCCAAATTTATTTAACAAAATCTATGTTTGTAAAGTGCTATCAGGTATTAATTATTTTGCTAGCCACTATTTTTGTAGGAAGAATCCTAGATTTGTTGTGCCATTTTTTTATTTGAGATGATGTCAGGATAACTAATGTACAGATCCTTAGTTGCCTGTCTACACTTTTAGTAAAACAGAATGAATTTAACAGTCATCTAATGCTCTAGAGTTTCCAAACATTTCAGAAATTTGAGAACTATTACAATTAGGAAATTTTCAATGAGTTGTTTTAAGAACTGCTTTTGTGTACATCATTGAGGGCTGGTGACTTGATAACACATCTTCTTTGTAGAGGCTTCCCCACATTCTCCTTTGCTCAAGGCAGAATGCTTTTTATTCTAGTGATGTCCTTAGTTTGATAATGTGACTCTTCAGTGCTGCAATTTGTGCCCAGCCAAGAGGTTTTCACATCATACTACTCTTTGTTTGAAATTAAATGAGAATTTATTTGAAGTAAGAACTCTACTTCTCCAAATGGCTATGTGAAGTGTCAGGGATCCCTGAACCTCTTTGTGGTGAAGACACCAAGATAATAAAGAAAACAGATTAATCATCTGTGCAAATGGATAATGCTAAGGACTAGGTACTGGTGTTTCTTGTAGACTTTTTAACTCTAGGGAACAAAAGTTTAAAAAAAAAAACCCATGTTTATAGCTCTTATTGACATTTGATATATCATCATTATGTTGTGTGACCATCAACTATCACATTATCCAGCCTGACAAGCTATTGATTGGGATGAGAATTCTGTATTAATTACTGTTATTACTTTTCAAGACTGTATTTATGCTCAGTACTTGCGTGGGACTTTGACATAACCTTTTATTAGAGAAACTCCATGCATTTTGCACGCCTTCATTTAATTTACACACTTCAGGAGTTGACTACTGAATCCAAAAGAGATGAAAGCCCAAATTCAGAGAGAGATATAATTACTGTCCAGTAAGGCCTGCCTTTTTAGGAGGTCTGACTCTGTTTTCTTGATGGTTTGAATAGATTTTCTTCTAACTTGAGAACAAAGGCTTTAATTTACGTCATTCACAGTATTTGCTATTCCAAATGCTGTTTTGCACTGTGTGCAGGACTTCCAGGAGCCCTAGGACTGTGTATTTTGTCCGTGGTCTTGTTAGGAATTTTAAGGCAAAGTTCTTTATTTGAGTGAAATGATTTTGATAGGGTTAGTTACTGAGGCATGATGCTGTAAATCCTGCTGGCCAAATGGCATGTGGAAAAGTAGCTAAATGCAGAGGAGTAACATTCTGATACTCATTTTGGATTTGGGTAGCACATTAGTCTCACCTGTGGAGCAAAAGTACATTATTCAGAGCACTGCTTGAACATGGAGGTTCAAGTCACTGACAGCTGTTCAGTGTCTCTGGGTCATATGTGCCACTTCTCAAATCATGGTTTAATCAGAACTGGGGACACCTCTTTGGCCAGACAACTCTATTTTTTCTATAATACTTCTTAGCACTGCTGTGCAATGTCAATGGAGATTTTCAGTGCGAGGGTTCCTAAAAGAATTCATGCAAAATGCCCCAAAAGAAGTTGAAAAATCTATAATGTTCTGTAATTAGTAACCTGAAACCAAATAACTTTATGTGAAGTGCCATTTCTTTTTATTCAAAAAGAATATTTGAAATCTTCTTCTTTAAAAGAAGTTGCTGCTAATTCCACAGTTCACAATCTAATTTGCCTTCCTAAACAACAGCTCTAATAATACTGTCCTAAACTCCATCAATCCCACCCCACTTCCCAGCCATGGTCCTAAAATAGTTTAATAAGCTCTTCAAATGAGGCTTCATTAATTTTACAGAACATACCAGAGGACATTCACTAGTGCTGTATATCTTGAGTTTCTGTGGAGTCAATTAAAATACAGCTACATTTTTCCAAATAAGCAAAGCAAAGCATATTTTTTATGATACCAAAACCTCTTTCTCAGTCTTGTTTACTTCCCACTTCATAAAATTCAGAGATCTGTAATGAATTTCTCAGACATTACTCAGGTTTAGTAAAGTTCTTTTGTGTTTCCTTTAGGCTTAATTTAGAACTTTCCTCATGCTTTCTACATTTTTATAATAAAATAATTTCATTTCATTAAATATAAATCTTTTACATGGGTTTTAAATAACGTGAAAGAATCAGCATTCAATCTATTCAATCTCTTATTAGAAATAGTGGGAAATTTGTAATTTTTTTTTTTTTTAAATCAAGGCTTATATGGCATTTGTGTATCTCTTGGTAATTTTGCAGGTATTGATATGAACAGATACAAAGCCTTTTTCTTAAGAGTCACAGTTAATTTTGTTTGGTTTGTGGTTTTTTTGGTTTTTTTTGGTTTTTGGATTTTTGGTTGGTTGGTTGGTTTTTTTGTTTGTTTTGGGTTTTTTGGGGGGGGGGGTTTTTTTGTGGTTTTTTTTTTTTGTTCTCGAGTGGTGTTAAGTTATATTTAACATGAGAAATTATAAATCAAGTGGTAGAAAGAAAAAATTGCTACAGGTCATCCCACAGTGTCACTTCATTCAGAACAATCCTATCCTACTGAACACATTTTTGCCACAGAAAAGGTTTCCATTTAAATGAAGTCATATTTTTGAATGAGCATGCTACAGGGCATAAATTGGTATTTTTGAAGCTCATGGAGCAAATCGACAGAACTTCTGTCTTGTTTGTGTATTGTAATAAAGATATTCCAATTAATTTAACATGCTGGTTTTTTCCACAGATGTATTAAAGACTCAATGTGTTTCCTAACTGTTTATGCCTTTGTTGTTGCAGATACAGCAGTGGTGTATAAAAACAGGAATGGACATGTTGTTGAACTGAATGTAGAAACAAATACAACAACATTACTATTGGAAAATACAACTTTTGTAAGTAATATGTATATTATTTACTTCTTTCTTAGTGTAAGTCTGCTAAGATTTTTTTCCTGTAACAGGAGGGAGAAAATGCAATATGTAGAAGTTACAGAAGATACATTTATAACCTAGACTAGACTGTATATAAATGAAAAGTATAATCCATTCCTGTATCAGTGAACAACTTCTGGGTGAAGTTACTTGTTGTTTTATTCAACCTACATGTAAATAACCAAGATGTTGGAGGATTTGCTATTGGTTGTAGTCTTTGCTTTGTTCAGGCCATTTGAAGGCTCATACCTGGTGTATGCACTGATGAATCTACCTGATCTCTATTAGAGTAAGAGATTTCATATAATGTGGGAATGCTACTCCAAATGTTGACAGTTTTTCACTGTTAGAAAAGGGGAAAAATGTTCAGAATTCATAGGAATATTTTCCTTAAAGCAATTGACTATGCAAAGAAAAATGTATTTCCTAGTCATGCTAATCTCTGGTTTAGTTGCTTCTCCGTGCTTTAATGGCAAACTAGATGATTGGGGATTATTCCTCTTGACCAGTAGATAGTATTTAGATGAGTGGTTTGCATGTGTTTCTGACTAGCAGTAATTGCTAAGGAGTGCTTTAATACTTTACTCTTCACTTTCTTTTGCTTTGCTTGGCAAACTGTTGTTCTCAGGGATACCACTTATATTCTACCCTGTAATTCTCATTTATCAGGTTTGTGCAGCATAAACATGTGGCTTGTCAATCTTTCCTCATAAATACTCCATACAGACCACTGGCTGTTATTGTTAATCCCTGTATTTTTAATTTAGTAAAATCTTTTGCACCTGCAGACCCAAAAGGATGACTTGTTTCCGTCAGCAGTCTTTGGTAAATGCTGATTTTATTCCTGGTCTGTTCCTGGCCTTTGCTGATAGAGATTCCTCTTTTCAAAGCATAAAGCCTCGGGTGACCTTTACTTCTAACTTCTCAAACAAGAAAGGGGAGAGTAGAAGTTCAGGAGAAAGAACTTGGTGCTGACTTCCTAGGTGCATGTAAAGATGAAGGAGAAGGGAGGAGAGAATCATATTTTAATGGGGTGTGTGTGTGGCTCCCTTTCTGTGAGCTGCGCTTTTCCATATGCTGGGAGGTGCCTCGAGGTACCTCTTAGCCCCAAAAAAGGCTGTCAGACACAATTAAAAGTGGGTGAAAAGGTGAATTTCTGTGAAGTACAAACCACAAAGTATTGCAGAAGCACTTTCCCACTTATCCATGTATTTGAGTGTGTGTGTGAGTGCTTGCCTGGCCAGTTAGAGGATTAACTGTGCCAGGCCTATGCATTGCCTTCAGTGTGTATCTTGAATGCAAGCAGCTGCTTGGGCACCCCTGGCTATAAAATGGGGCTTTAATTACAAGACTTAAATTTCCTCACAGATAAATTCATATACTTTTGACTGCAAATATTTGGCTAACGTGATGTAAAGTGTAATGCCAGCATGACAAGCAATTCAGGCCGTTATGCTAAACCAGCCTTGCCAAGTAACACTGGATTGGTGTGGACAGGCTACTTCGTACTCTGAGTGTCACCTCTTTTCTCAAAGTTGCTCATCTCTGGGCTGTTCTTGGAACTGACTTATCCTGAAGTCACACAAACTGAGTGAACTCTGGACATTAGACATCTACTATTAATTAGAAACGTGGGAAACTGAAGCAAAGCAGACAATATTCAAGCAACCATTTAACAATTATAGGTGGAACAGAGATAAATAAAAACCTAAGTGTATTTTTTCCTGCAAAGCTCCTCTCTTTACATGGTCAAAAGCTAAGAGTGTTGGAATTAAATAAAGTGAATTCCAGCAATTATTCATATGGAAGTATAATGAAAAGCTGAAAACAGAGCAGCAGGCTCAATAAGTTTGTTGGTGTATGTTTGGAAGAGAGCAGGGGGAAAAGTTCTACACTGAGTTGTCTGTTGACACAGTGGTCAGCATTCCTAACAGAAAATCATAACATTACAGAGGCAGGCTGAAATCAAAAGCTGTCCTCTTCTTCTAAGCTTGCCTGCCCCCTAATTCACACTGCTGAATGTAATCTTCCAAAGTTATACACCTGGATCATTAATCAAACATTTTCCTCGCTCAGTGTCACATCTGCTTAATCACTGGTGTATAATTAGAATGGTGCTGGTTTAATGACTCTGCAGAGATGTCTTGTATTAATAAGAAGTACAGTAGAGATCCAACATAGGCAGTGGCACTGCAAGTTCCCTCATTCTTCCCTATAAAAAAGAGTTTTAGTCATGGAAGAGTCACCTTTTGCTGGGAGTTATTAGTCTGATTTCAGTCTGTTTGCTCTCCTGTTTGCCTCTGCTCAAGAAAGGCAGAAGTGACAGTGTTTTCTTAGTAATGTTGATAATTGTCCATGGAAAACTGAACTGCCATGATAAACTCCTTACACAGAGGCGAGGGGCAAATAAAGACTATTTGTCACTCCTGATTGGGCTGTGTTTCAAACAGCAGCTCAGAAGAGATTTGGCATTTTTTCACCTCATTGCTAAACCCTTGAAGCAGTCTTCCACTGCTTACAGATCACTTGGCTCTTCTTTTGCACCTTAGAGACTGCCATTTACCTGCAAAGTACGTATCTTTTATTCTTCTTTGTGTTGCCTGTTGTCTAAAAGTCAGATATCCCTACTGAGGGTCTGCTGTGCTCACTATGTAGGTGTATCATCAGAAAAGCAGACTGCAGTTTTTTAAAAAGCATACGTTACATATATAAAAGATTAAAAAATACCCTTCAAAATTCTCTATAATAATAGTTTTGCACCCTAAAAGAAGAAAGACTAATGTTTTGTCATTTTAAGATGCCCACTTCTCTTACATAGGGGAAGTATCTATTCCAAGTTCCTGAATTACAGTATTTTTTTCCAGTTTCACCGGGTTTATTCAGAAGTAGAAGACATTTTTCCCTTTGAAATGGAATCCTTTTCTATAATCAATCTATTGATAAAACAATCTGGCCTTTATATAATTAAAACATCAGCAAAGCAATGTTGTAGATAACAATTACATTGCCCTAAGTGAAAAGGATAGCTTGTTAAGCACAAAGAATATCTATTAACATCTGAGATTGTTATTATTTAGAGGTGTCTTCTAGTATATGTTTGTCCTCTGAGTGTGTTCATGTAGTGCATCCTGTTTCAGCTGTCTAATAAACAGTTAAAGTCCCGAGCCAGCGGCATATAAATGTTAGCAGCTGGAGGCTGGACAAGTCTTCTATTAAGAGAAGCCAAAAAAAGCCCTAGACATTAATCACTGCGTGGCATCCTGATGTTTGTGATGCTGCCTTGATGCTTGATTACAATATGTTCTCTGTGATCTATCTGAGGTGCCTATCACCATGATCCTAAGTGACAAGCCTACCAGTTTTTCTGCATTTAGCAGTACTTGATTACACATCAGACTTCCAAAATAAGTAGCAATATGCCACATTTATCTAAGTAATTTCAGTGTTTAACAGGCATTTTATTTATTCCTGTTGCTATCAACTGTTACATAAAATCAGTAAGGGCAGGTTACCAGTTCACTCACAGCCCAGCCACAAGATGCAGCTAAGCTGAGAAGAGAGCATGGAGGACAACATGGATTCTTGTGCTCAAGGGAAATTGTCCATCTGGTCCCTTGTTATAGCTCAGCTATCTAATCTGTTCTACAAACCTTAAACCCAAACCAAACCAAAATGAAAAAAGCAAACAGAGAGATGAGAAAAAAAAATGTGTGTAGGGACTGTGCGTTCTGGTATGGAACTTTACAAATGTGTTGAATCCTCTGAAAGAAACCTGTAGAAATTTTGCCTTCATTTCTCCCTCTCAAAAAAAGCTGCAATAACTATGAAAGTGCTAAGACTTTAGTCAACCCTCAGTTCCACTGCTTTTGTGATGCATATGTGCAAAATTATTTGGATACCATGCATGCACCCTTAACAAACACTCAGTCAAGTGTCCTCAGTCAGAGACAGTTCTAGTGGGCCTTCTTAAGCCTTTCTGAGTGTAGGTGATGGGTTAGATTTTGACTCATCAGATAAAAGGCTGTTGATTTGTTTTCAGTACATGACAATACAGGTGTAATTGTTTTCAGTTTGTGAGCTCTAGAATAGGGTCTTGTATTTACTACAGCTTCCCCCTCACACTTTGGGCTCTTCTAACATCTGGCAGTTCCTGACTTGCTCTCCCCCTTGTTTTCAGTGCCTTTCCACAATTCTTTCCAAGCTCAAGGGGAAACTGCGTTTTGGTGCACAGCAAACAGTTATTACTGAGTTGCAAACCTGCTTCCAGTGGCTTGACGGGAGCACACCCTGGAATATGTTGTGCTGTTTTGTTATTGTGGACCATCTTTTACACAAGGATGGAGAGAGAAGGATTACTTCTCCCTGCCTGCAAGTGGTGAGCAGAGCAGGAGTGGTCATGGCTCATGAATCACGATTAGGCTGTGGCAGCCCAGCTGTGAAAACCCTGTGGAGGCCTTGAAACAAAAAACAGAGAATGAGAGTTTTAGTTTGAGCAGAGCTTTGAGCAGGGAGTGTTTTGTGGTGTTTTACAGAGTGTTGTCCATAAACAGTCCTTCTTGCTCTCTTCCTTTTGATTTTGTTTTTGTTGTTTTGTGTTCCCCACCACCACACCCCCTTCCTCTTTTGACATGAACCTCAGTGCAGCATCATAATGCAGTTATAGTTCCTTTGTTGATTAATGTAGATTTAATTGCAGGACTGGTTTACATGCTTATATTTTTAAGAGCCTTGCATAAGAGATTAATGAAAGGGCGAATAATAGTAAATACATTAAATAACATTATATAACCACATAAATATTAGTAATTGTTGCAACAGTAGACATTTTAATGACCCACACATGTTGTAAATAGGTGGTTATGAATATTGTAAAATTATCTCTACTCTCCCATGCTCCTTTAAATGTTAAATAACCCCCTAGCAAATCCTTTTCAGTAGAAGGGCTTTTGTGATGTAGGATT